CCCCAGCTGCTGTTCTAGTCAGCCCAGCTTTTGTAAGTGGAGTTTCTGCCACTGGGTCCACCTCAGCTCCCAGTATTCTAGGAGAGCTGACTGGGTCTCCTTATGTAAGGCTTCCAATTTCTTCTCTGCTGGGCTCTCCTCCCGGGTGTTCCTTCCCAACTGGCCTGGTCCCACTGTCTCCCACGGGCCCTCTGGACCTCTGATACTAGGAGGCTCCTCCTCCTCCAGATCTTGTATAAGTATTGACCGGAGACCCTCAACTTGCACCTCAGTCTGTCTCAAAACCTCCATGAGTGACCCCCTTTCCTGGAGTTCCAACTGGGTGACTCCCACACAGCTCATTAATTGCTTTTCCAAAGCCTCTAGCCCCTTCCCTAGGCTGTCTGTGCTCTCCAGAGTTTGTACTTCCTGGTCTATTAGTTCCTTCTCCGCCTCTTGGGACTGTCGGAGTTCCCTGGTCATTTGGCAACTTGCCCCGGGAAATCTCCGCTTGTGCTCCTCTAGCCTCTGCAGCTCCTCCCTTAGGGTTTGCAACTCCTGTTGCAGCTGCCCCTGTTCTGCAGTAAGGCTTGTTTCTTTACTCTGGCTCTCAGCTAGGAGCGCCCAAGTGTCCAAGTCTGCTCCTCAATGGAAACCTGAGGTGTCTCAAGAGCTTGTATACGGGTCCTTAGCTCCTTGTTTTCCTCCCTGCAGGCTGCCAATTCCCCTTCTAGGGTGCTATGGGGCATCACCTGGTTTTCCCATCAAAGCCTTTACCTTTTCCATCTGCTGCTCCCACACCTTCCTAGACTCCTCGGTCTGTGTGCGGTTCAAGCTTATCTCCTCCTGGAACTGGTCAGCCATACGTTCGGCCCCCAAGCACCTTGCTTGCCATTTTTCCAGGTCCTCACGGAGATCCTGTATCTGCTCTACCTGGTTGTTAACTTCTTTCTGCAGAACAGCTATTACGCCCCTGGATACCTCTAGCTTCTGTTGTAACCTTTGCTGTTCCCCTGCCAGAGCTATGCCAGGCTCAGGGGACTGCGTCCTCCAAGCCTCCAACTCCACCTGCATCCTCCGTAGCCTTTCTTCCCTAATTTGACCTTTCTGGGCCTCCTGAGTAAACAGCCGTTCTAGCTCTTTGGTTCTTTCTGTCTCCTCTGCCATTAGTCGTCTAATTTCCTTCATTCCCTTATCTTTCTTTCCCAGCCGCTCTAGTATCGTGGCCTTAGCCACTTCTCTCCGGGCCTTCTCCACGGCTAAGTCCCGTTCTAGCTGGGCTACATTTTCCATCAACTCCTCAAATCTCAATTGCCAAAGAAACTTTTCCTGGTCCCCCTTGAACTCTCCCTCAGCCAGGACAACCCTAACCTTTTCTCTTTGGCTCCGGGCCTCCGTCATGCTAAGGGCTTCCAAGTGATGGGTCCCTGCCCTCCTTTCTCCCTGGCAATCCAAGAAAAAAAAATTCTCTTTCTACAATGTCACTCTTTGCCCAACCCTGGGTTCGTTGGCTCCCCTTGTAGGGGACGCAGGTTTCTAACCCGCGCACGGCCAACTTCCCGGCCAGTGGGCCAGTTGTCACGGGGTGGGGCCTAGGAGCGGCCGTGACCGCACTAGGTCCCCGTGCCGTGCCAATTAGGAGATCCAGCACCCTCTTAATTCTCACCCGCCATGTCTTTGATCTTAGTAGTTAATATGGGAGGCTGCCTAGGATCTCCTATGATCTCAGGGTGACTTGGTGCACCCCAGCCTTATAGGCTATGCGTGCCTCCTACCTCCCCTTTAGCACGCCCCAAGCCTCGCAGCTATTCCCGACATTCTTGTGTCTCCAACCTTATACTAGCCCCTCCTGGGCTTTACTCTTGCAGGCTGGCCCCCTTGGGCCTATGCCACACGCTTCCCGCACTCTTGCCCCTCGCCGGGGCCTGTCCCTGCGCCTCTTGCCCCTCGCCGGGGCCTGTCCCTGCGCCAAAACCTGCACCTGGGGCTCAGGTGGCTCTCCCCGAGCCTGCTTCTGCATCTCTCGCACCCTTGGCTCTCCCCACTGAGCCTACACACCAGCCCTGTCTCAGGGTTTTACCAACGCCGGGGCTCAGGTGGCACGCAGCCATGCCTGGCCCCCCTGACCCTTCTCAGGGTCTTATGCCCTCACTGGGCTGAGTACTGCCCTCTTGGGCTGGGGTCTCAACCCCACACGCCGCACCACTCTGGTGCCAAGCTGCTGCACCTTCCCGGCGCTGCTCAGTGCCCACACAGGGCACCTAGGAACCCCCAGACTACTGGGGAGCTCCTGTGAGGCCTCCTCACACCCCTACAGCCTCACCCAGTCCTCTGGATAATATACACAACTGAGTCATAAGCCAACCAGCTGCAACCAAAATTGTAAGCCTACCAGCTTCTACATAAAGTCCCGGCCATCCTGGCTCTCTGGCAAAGCTTTCTGGTCAGGCTTCTTTCTGCCTTCACCATAATGCAGCCCTCTGTGTACTCCGGCTGCACTGCTCAATTTAGCTCTCCCACAGAGCTCTTACACACAGACTACCAGAAGGGAACTGCTAGCCAGGCTCCGGCCTGGCTGTTTATATGGGCCCAGCCCTGCCCCCTTCTGGTCACATGACCATCCTGGTTGCTCCGGCAACCCACACCTGAGCTGCCCTGGTGATTGGCAGCAGCCCTAATCCCTACTCAGGAACGGGGCACCCAAGTGCCCCTGTGACAATGAGCCTTCCCAGTAGGTTTCAGTAATTTTTACCAAGCAGGTAAAAATTTTGCTTTTACCCAAGTAGTTCCAGTGCCCTTTGTTTGTTACCCCAGCCCCTAGCAGGGGGGTATCTAGGCAATTAAATAATTTCTTCTCTTGGAGTCCCTTGGTGCCTTGATAAATTGTGTTATCAGTTTCTTGCTTCTTAGTAACTATAGCTCTCTAATAGTGTTGGCTCTGTACGTTATCACTACCCACTCTCCTTCCCCTGCTCCTAGGAGTCCAATAAGACTTTGAGGTTGAGCAGAAGGAGCTAAAGCAGTTGGGGTAATCAGCCCCCAGCTCTTAATGTTCTGTATTCAGGCAACCTTGATAGGCTTTGCCTTTCCTGAATTTCAATAGTGCTTGTCAGGGAAGGGGAAGAGGAGCATCCTACAGAGCAATATACACTGCCTTGACATCCCTGAAGAACCAGTTTCTTAGGCAACTAACTGAATTTGCTGTAAATTTGTGCAAGTAACCCTCCGGTATGCTGTCAAACCTTGCCCCAGAAAACACACCTCTAGGCATAAGGCTGTCCTTCTAGGCTTGGGCCCTTTGGCCTGCCTCATATGGCCCCTGTTTCTAGGACCTGTTATTAGTTCCTTCCTGTCCTAGCTCCATGTTGAGCTATTACATCCATAACAAAATGCTAATACATGTTGCTTCCTTTAGCTGTCACCTTCTCAGTACTTTATTAATGAGACCTGATGGCAGATTTAACTACCTTCTTACCTCCTAGTGCTTTAATTTTATTAACCGCTTTCTGAGCACTAATTGCTACAATAACTTGAAATAAAAGCAAAGGGAAAAACCACTAAGGGTAAACTCTATGTGGTGAACTGTACATGGTTCCTAGCACAATGTCTCCTAGGAGGGGAAGGTTTGCAAGCCCCATATAGAATGGCCTGGTATCCACTAGGAAGTCCTGCATCAAAGACACTGGTCTGCTATCAACAGAGATGTTCCCTCACGAAGGGTCAGCCCAGGTCCTGTTCTGCACAAACTGCCTTGCTTATATCCCTAACAGCAGTGATTTATAAGAATTTATCAACTTGTACATCCTTTTTTGCATGCTGCTTCCCCCCAATGCAGGCTCAATAGAGTTCCCCTCCATTCATTTTTTTAAATTCCAAGATACAGTAATACTGCTAGATTTTGTTCCATATTTGCTCCTCTTACCACATCCACTTTCAATATTCCCTTGCTGTAGAACATTTAGTAGTTCTTAGTTACCTCCAGTGTCTGGTGTCTGTATTTGCAGCACAGAAAATAATAATCCTTCCCTCATCTCTGTTTTCTTCAATCACCATCACTTCAGGATGTGCAGAAGCACAAACAGCAGAAGCAAGGGAGGCATCAGCTCCTCAGACAAATTCAATAGAAGACTCAATATGAACAGAGTCAGAATTTTTAATTAAAAACTGATTGAATTTCTGTGTGCTGCACATTGATTCAAGATGTGCCTCTGTTGATGATCCTATAAAGTGCTCTTTGCATGTGCAAATTATTAAGTACTAGTTGAGTGTCACTAATATGCCTGCTGCTAAAGAGAACAAGGAGAAAGGCCTGGTCTTTGCAATCCAAAAGCATAATTCAAAGTCTAATGAAGGCAAGGAAGTTCTTCCCAGTTAGCTTTTTCAGCCCCATTGTAGCCTCTGGGGTTTTTGTTTGATGAGGGTTGGTACGATAAATATTGTTATTGGAATTATAAATTAAGTAAAAACCTTGAACAGATTAGCCACAGAATTAGTCTATAGAATCTTCATCATCTGGAAGTTTTTAAGAGCAAGTTATACAAACATCTTATACAATGTCAGGAACATTTCAGTTATGATGAACCTTGACGCAGAATAGGGGGATGGACTGGATGACCTCTTGAGGTCCCACCCAGCCCAGTTTTCTATGATTGATCAGTGTGAGAAGCAACACAGATGGTGTGAAGTTGTTGATAAAAATTGCAGCAGAAGGTCATTTTGGAAAAGAATTTGAACTGGAAGATGAACAAGCATTCCTGTAAATTCAGGGGGGAGGAATGGATAATCTTTTGTTTATGCTTAGAATCTGATCTGAACTTGAGTGAAAATTCTGCTTAGATGTAGGTGAGCAGACATGTAAGATAACATGTCTTATTTAGGGAAAACTAGGTTGCTTATCCACTCAACCTAGTACTAATATAGTGAAACCAATTGCTTTAAAGGTTGAATGGGTAGAACATGCACCTATATAAAGTTCTAAAAGCAAAGACATTGCAGTGATTTTTGTTGTTGTTTTCACCTAGGATCCTGGCATTTGTTTAACTTGCTACTTTTGGAATATGTTATTCACATTCTCCAATCCCATTTAGAGGAGGAAGGAGATGAAGGTCTCTCAGTAATTCAGCAGAACAGTTCTTCTGTTCAAGTAGTTCCCAAACCTGCCCACCTGCTGGATGATTTTTCTGTTGAACAGCCTCAAGTTGAAGTCCCAGAACCAGCACATGTAACTTTGACACAAAGCCAGAGTGATGTTAATTTAAGCAGTGTTATTCTCAAGGTCTTGAGCTGTCTGGTAGACACAGCCACAGGCAACAAGGTAAAATCAACTATATGGTTGTTTTTAAACATTTGAATTTAAAACCCAACTGGAAGAGGTGAGGGTTGGTAGGAATCTGTATGAAACATCTCTGGTTAATATAAATAATGTTTTGGCTTTTTCAGTGGCCTTTCACCCTCTTTCCTATACTGATAACATATGTCTTTAATCTCAGGGGCAGAGTTTTCTAATGGAGCCAGTCTCATGTTAACTGCACTAAGATTCACAGCCAATGTTATATTACGAGTTGCTGAGTATGGACCTCATTACATTTCCTTTCCTAGTATCCTGGACCTCCCCAAATTTATGCAACTTACACACTTTCTTAGTGTCAGGAACAGAAAGGATACTAAAGTGGGGTAAAGGCAGTTGCCTTCTACTATAAGCCCAAATGATTGTGCCACAAGGGGGCAAAAATATGATCTCAGTCTTTGCTGCTTTCACACTCCCCAAGAGCAAAGGTCTGGATTGCTAACTGCTTGGACTGCAGTCCTTAGGTAAGTAACCCTTCTGCACAAAGCCACATTCAAACCTGATGGGAGAGAGTGCAGGGTAGTTACACCCATTCCCTCCAATCTGAATTTCTCCCATCAGCTTCATTTCCAGGTTTTGTAAAGTTCTCAGTAAATGACAGATTCACACACCCTTTGCTTAGATGTCAGGACCTTACCAAGCCTGTTTGGCAGTTTTGCTTTTTTTTAAAACTAGTTTCTCTTTGCACCAAACCTCATCAGTAGAGAACTCACTCTTGTTTGTACCACCCTTACACCTAGTCAGTGGATCCAGTGGAATAATTCATGGAAGGTCAAATTCTGTTAAGCCCTTACATGGATATGCAAGGAGGAAAGAGGGCCAGGGAAGTGGGGTGTAAACCAGCTCCCATCAGTTGTCCAACACATCTAAAGGCAGAGAAGAAGTAGGTCAAGCCACTGCCTACCTGCACAGCCAGGTTGACACAGCTGGGAGAGTAAGCTGTACCCCAGAAGGAGCGTTGCAGTGGGTGTGCTATCTCTGTTCTAAGGAGTACTTTGCTTCCTGCAGTAGGATGCCTTTTTGTGAACTCCTCAGGCCACAGAAGCCCTATTTTGTGTTAAACCCAGATCTCTGCCAGGAGTCATGACCTAGCCTAGCCCAAAGTAAAGTGCCACTCAGTAGGTGCATCTACACAAGATGTTTACTGTGGAGCTGCCTAAATACAGCAGTGTAAATCAGTGTAAATACAAGTACTGTCCTACAGCAGAGTTCTTTAGTGTGCAGCAACACATGTGTAGACACTGATGGGGCTGGTTGGGGCATGAGGGTACTATAGTGCAAGGGCTGACTACTGGATAGCCTTGCACTGAAGTACCCTTGTGCCCCAGTCAGCTCCTCCACAGCATGTTGAGCTGGGTCAGAGTAGCCCTGAGCTGGCAGGCTGACACCTCAGTCTCCCTGCCAGCCAGGGCTGCTCTGACCCAGCTCAATGTGGTGCGGTCCTGGGCGTATGTATAAATGTGGTGCCCATGAGCAATAAAACCCAGCGCCACGTGCACCAGAGTTTATGGCTCTATGCTAATAGCATGTGTAGATGCACCCAGCATGATATTCATGAAAGAAGTACACTTAAAGCACATTAGAAGGATACAAGCAAATCAAGTCAAACCAGCAGGGAATTTTATAAAGCATAGTTTCCTGGATGAGGTTTGCAACCCCAGTGGCATCACGGCACTTAGGAGAAGGGTTGTGAACCCCATGGAAATTCAGTTGTTAAAAATGGGCTTACCTGGGAAGTGGGGTAGCGAGCCTGGAAAGGCTGGGAACTGGTGTTGTAACAGTTACATGTTGCTTCTCTGATCTTTAAGAATTAGGAGGAAATAACAAAGCAGTAGACTAAGGAGAAACTATAGTTCACTTATTTACCATGGGGGAGAGAAGCGGAGCAGGGCAGGGCGGATCAGAGTGAGCATTAGGGAGTATGTGAAGGTAGGAGAGGATGGGGTGAAGGCAGGGAAATGGAGGGCAGAGTGGATTTGTGGAGGGGCATGGGAAACAAGAAGTACAAAGTGGAAGGAAAAATTAAGAACTGAGAGAGAACTGAAAGTGGGAAGTGTGATGGGGCTGGAAAGCTAAATTGGCTGCTTAAACATTTTGGTGCAGCCTCTTATGCTCAGAAAGTTTGTGTCACACCTCCACCCTCATCTCATCTAAATGACTGCTAAAAAGCTCTGTTCTTCTCTGAAGCCTTTAAGAAGTGAGGGGGAGGGAGGAATGGTAACAGGAGTCATAAATAAAACCCCCCAAACCAGCAGTGTCAATATATGTCTGTACTGTGCCAAGTAGCTCTGTCATCTTTTGGATTGTTAGCATCATTCTTCCTCTTCTGTACCATCTGTATCTGGTGCTGGACTTCACTTGCTGCTTCTTGTCAAATTTAGACTGCATTCTTCAGTGCAGGGAGCATGTTCTTGCTTTCTTTTTTTAAATTAATTGGGAAGGACCCAGCACATGTTTGAATAAATTAAAACCATTGTTAATAACAATCCTTTAGAAAGCGGGGTAAAACATCTCCTAACAAAACACTTGTTTTAGTAGAAAAATTAGGGTAAAATAAAAAATGAGACAAGTATTTAGCAAAAGTGGGTCAACAGGCAATGTGGCAGATGAAATGCCACATAATCAAATGCAAAATAATTGGTAAGAACAAACTGACCGCACAAGTAGATGGGTTTGGAACGTGCTGTAATGTATTGAAGTGCAGCTATGAAAATGCGGAGCTGATCTTTATTTCTTATCACAGAGCTTGCAGTTTCTTTCTCACAGCATGAGCAATGTTCCTTCATCTATAATACCCCAGCATACTCACTCTGCGCTTCCTCTCTTTGTTCACCTGTTACCAAATTAAAATCCCATTAAACTGAACTCCTGCTGTGGGTTTATCTTCAGAGCCCTGCACTGTAGCTTTTAATCCAATTCTACGCCCACATCACATACAGTCTACTGCAAATCACAGGGAGAACAGACCTGAGTATCACTGTACATAGCTCAATGGGTTAGCAGTGGCATACAAGCAAGCCCAGTGCTTTAATTTTGAAGAGGATAGAGGAAACAAGGAAACAGTTAACTGCCTCATATAAACCAGTGATGTGCTCTCAGTTCAGTGCTTGTTATAATCAAGCAGGTTATACATACAGTAAAAAATGTTAATTAAAGCAGTTAGAGACCCAGGGTGAAATCCTAGCCACACTGAAGTCAAGGTACAATTCTAATTGACTCCAGTTGGTATATCAGCAGCGTTGGCAGTACTATATTCAGGTATGCCCTGCTCACCAACCTCTTACTCTGGCCTTGCCGGCTCTGGATGTGAGGTGGTAACACTGTGCTGAAGGCCTGCCAGAAACACCTCCCAAGAGTTTTGGCAGGTGCAGCCACAGGGCAGCTTTGTTTCTGGTTTAGCACATATGGAGTTGGAGCAGGTTGGGGAGTAGCACTCCCAAGAACACTGCAGAAGCAGCACAGATACCAATGAGGGCAAGATCACAGCCTTGATAGGCACTTCAGGCAAAGAAAGACTGAAAGGGCTGGGAGAAATTTTGGAGAAATAGAGAATAAGAGGGGATATGACAGAGTAGTATGTACAACTGTATATCATATGTTAAAGGTTGGTTTGGGGTTCCTATTAACTGTGTCCCATTACATGAGTAGATTGGGGGTATATTGAGACTGCTTTGCACGCTAGCCCACACTGCCATTCCTAAGCTGCTTCTGGTAGCCAAGTTAACTCATTCACAGAGCACCAGGCTACACTGCCATAACTTTTGTGACTTCAGTGTAGACTAACTTGGTGAAATTAAATGGTAAAAGTGTGGGGCACAATCCTAAACATGCAAGGTATTAAATTCAGCATGTACTAATTACATGCAGGAACCCATTAACCAGCACTGTTTGAAGAAACAGATAAAAGAAAAGACATGTTGTTCAGTAGAAAGAGGAGACTGGATGCAACCTCTCCTCAGTGACAATACTTACGATATTTGATGTTTTATTTTCAGCTCCTCCAAGTTATGTTGGAAGACAAAATTACCAAGAGTTCTGTTAAACTGAATCTTCCAGTTGGAAAGGATGCACTCATTACTCTAAAAGATGGACAGAGATTTATTATTCGCACTTCTGATCCACAGTAGATCTCCAGTGGTACTTGCTTAAGGGAAAGCCAGACAGACCTTTAAGAATTGTTTGCAAGGGTGTATTGCACTTACGATGTGTTTAGTTTATATTTAAGAAAAAAAACGTTGTATTTTCCTGGGAATTGTGGGGGGGGAGGGAGGAGATTGTAATTAACAGTTATGCAATTGTGTGAAAGTTTGTTGTTATTGTTTTTAACTCTGATCTTTTTAAACTGATTGGCATATTTGAATAAATCTGTAAAAAATCCTACTGTGGAATGTATTTGTCTGGTTGTTTTTTCATCTTACCCTTTTCTATGTTTCTGTCTTTAGTAATGTGAAAGCCTTTCCTGAAACCACAGTGGCAAAGAAACTTGACAGGAACTATGGGCAAAACTAATGACCTAACCAAATGTTTCTTTTTATCTACAGTATGTAACCCAGAAATAGGGATGCCATTTAGTATACACAGAACTCAACTCTAATCTCAGGGGCAGGAGTTGATATTGTCAGGAATCTTGAAAAATTCTTGCTGAACTTTCCACTTTTTGCTGAGATACTGCAGAGTCAGTATCTCACATACAATGTTATTAATCAAGCCAGAATAGTATGTATAATATGTTATTGATTTCCCATTCATATGTGAGCCATTATTTTGTCTTATTTTACTATGACCACAGTACCAAAGGAATGATCTAGCAAAATCCTGGAAGTAAATTGATACAAATTTAAAAGTATTCTACAGGATATTAAAATTGTATCACAAAAGCATTAGCCTAAGGAAATAAACTGATTGGGTAATACTTGGGCACAGCTACACAAGACGTTTGCTGTGGAGCTGACTAATTAATTATCTCTGCAGTAAAGTCTCAATGTTTACACATGCAGCCCTTTTAGGCCACAGTAAACTAATAAATACTGCCATAGGATTGTACACAAGTACGATCCTATGGTGGCATTATTTAGTGTGCCACAACACACATGTAGACACTGATGGGGCTGGTCGGGGCACAAAGGTGCTTCAGTAAAGCGTGCCTGCCAGCTATCTCTGCACTGAAGTACCCTCGTGCCCCAGCCAGCCCCTCCATAGCATGTCACAACAGCCCTGGGTTGGCAGGCTGAAGCCCAGGGCCCCCTGCCATCTAGGGCTGCTCCAACCCAGCTCAATGTGCTGCTGCCCTGGGCACACATACAAACGGTGCACTGAGGAGCAATAAACTCTGGTGTGAACTGTGCTGGAGTTTATTCAGTCTTCTTAACAGCATGTGTAGACATGCCTGGGAACTAATTGTTTCTAATAGTTTTGTGGAGCACTAGTGCAGGAAAGGTGAGAAGGTGGCAGGCAGCCCCCAAGAAGCTAGAAGACATTTCCTGAACTGGGAAGGGAAACTAGCCTAACTTTCCTCCTTCTGTTCTTGAAAATCCTTGCTTATCTTCAATCTTTTTTTTTTTTTGGTTCTCAATCCAAATGATTGGGATGGATATCAAAATGCAGAACAGCCAGGTTACTATGACTAGAGATCAAGTTAGGGCTATTTGCCAAAGGAAAAAAGTAAGGAGAGAGAGCATACTTGATAGATAACATTTATTTATTAAAAAAAACCTGACTACTCCATCAGCATACCATATTATAAGAAACTGTGCGGAGCTCTGATATATGCTACTGCACCAGGAGTCTAATTGATTTTTAAATCTGTATTTTTTTATCAAATAGGATCATAGAAAAATAGAGCTGGAAGGAATCTCTTGAGGTCATCTAGTCCAGGCCCTTTCACAAGGCAGGATTGTTCCTGAGGATTAACCATCCCAGACAAGTAGATAGTCTATGACTTCTGCTGTGGGTATTTGACAAAACAGTTTACAATATAGCCCAAAGGCACAGCCCAAGTCTTGATAGGTAGGTGGGAGGACAGAAAGCATGGAAGCCATATACAATGTGACAGAAGTGCTTGCATCCCTTTGCTGTTCATGTCCAGGCTGTCACACTTTTTGGAGTTTCTGTAGACATTCTACTACATTTTTTTTGTGTGATGTGTGACTGTCGAGATGCTCCTTCAAGCAGAGCTGGGTCTTAGACAAATTATTTTGTTTGCCAGTTGTTGCTGAAGCGTCTGTGTTACTTCAGCCTCTGCTCCAAGCGGCAGAGTTGTGTGGTTTACATGACGACTCTACAGGCTGATATTGCTTTAATAAGAGCAAGTGTATTTCAGCTCTGTGCCAGCGTTCACCACAGGAGGGTGCTGCTCTCATTCCAAAGGTTCAGGCTAGGCAAGGTTCAGTGTGGCTCTTAGCTGGGAGTGTTTGTTACAAAATGTCTGTGTGCTGCTATCAAATACAGCTGAAGAAAAGGACTGTGTCTGTATCCTGGCTCTCCTGGTTGCTTTGGTGTAGCATGATGCTTTCTCCTGCTTGGGGATATGTGATAGTCAACTCTGTCTCCTGGTCTGTTACCAACGAGGTGGAGGAAGAACTGGACAGCTCCTCCAACGAGGAAGCTCTCCCTGCACTCCTGGAAGACACGACTAGCATCTGGAAGCAGAGCTACCCGGCCTCTGTTTACAAAGAAGATGGGCAAATGAGGTCCAGGCCAGTGGCTGGAAGATCCAAGCAGGTATCCTCTCCTTCTAGGATGTTTTCCTACAGGAGAGAGAGTGTCAAAGGGACAGATGACAGCATTGCTCCTCTGGAGCAGGCAATCCGAACTGCCCGTTTCCTGAGCCATTATAACAGCTGGGGCTTCTTGGCTACTCAGTCCACGCAGGAAAAGGTACTGTGACATCTTATGCTAGCAATAGAGAATTCTCTTTTAATGCTGAGCTGAACAGCCGGAGAGGGTTTGCAGATTTATTGCTTGTGTTTTAGTGTTCTGAAAAAGGCAGTAAATAATCGTTCTGTTTTGGAAAAGCTTTCTGGATATAAATTACAAATTATTTGCTAACATTACAGTTTATTATTATGCAAATTTGCATAATAACAGCCTAGCACTGTTACAGAAAACAATATTTTATTATTTTATAATCATCTCTTGATGTCAGCCACAAAATATGCAGGGTAAATAATAAAAGCTGTCAGTAATGTTATTCAAACAGCCAGTAAAAGTACAGTGCAGGCACATATGTAGCAACATTTACAGTTTTGCTTCTCTGCTAGTTAGGGTAGGATGGGAAATCATGCTTAGAGTTCAGTGGAAGAGATGCTAAAGGGCACCTTAATGAGGTGCAGAAAAGAAGAGAAAAAGCATTGGGCTAGATCCACTGCTGCAACCAAACAAGATTACATTATAGTTTTTGGAGAGAGGCCTTTGCATTCCTTCAACCTTCAGCTGACTGTGTGCTGAACTGGTCCCACTCCCCAGTATTAATTCAGAGCAGCCTGCTCTAAGGTATACTGACTTTAATGGCCTCAAGGGATCAACAGAATAAAAGGGTATACTAGCTATGTCCGCTTTGCGCGATCTATATTCTCTGTATTGGTTGCAGGGTGAGGGAGTTGGGCTGGGAGCAGCTACACTGGCTCTGTGCTACCAGAAGATCTGTCTATCCCAGGGTCATCCTACCATAATTAGCTCTGCCAGCCTCAAGACCACTTTTGTGTCAGCAATGTGGTACAAAACAGATTTGGCAGTACTGATACTGGGCTGTTAATTTTTCCAGATTTAAAAAACTTCCTTTTGATTGAAAATAAATAAACAAATAAATAAAAAAGAAGGCTGCTTTGAGCTGGACCCTGTTATCACTAATATTTGCAAACAGGAAAGATCATTTTAAATTCACTGTTCCTTTAAACTGTTCACAAATTACTGACTAAATTTAAAATTCTATTTAAAAAACATAAAGTAAAAGTTAGAAGCTAGTCAAACCTCCTAAAAACACTGTTCAAACAATTGCTATCTGGCTGTTTGTGTTACTTTGAACTGCAAAGTGTCAAATCTAAAAAGGTATCATTAATAAAATATTCTCATTTGTACACTACAAATTTGTAATTCCATCCCAAGGTTTCAGAGATACTATTGACCCATATCTTAACTCTTACAATTTATAGTCTCACCAAAAGCTTCTGATGGAAATGCAGCATTAATTCAGTGAATGTGGTTAGCTTTCTGTAATTACAATACATAAGTTAAAAAATGGATTTATAATAAAACTTGTAATTAAGAGGTGTGATTTTTTTTGTATGGATTATACTTCATGTGCTCACTCTTCCTTTCTGGATGTGAACTATGAAGTTAACCAGGCATGAAAAAACAGGTTTTCAAAACAATTTGAAACTTCTAGTGCTAAACTGTTGATAGCTGCTATTTTTAAATTTATACATCTTAATAAATATACAAATATTTTTAATGTCCAAGTTACATGGCTTCATAAACAAATCCGCTTACCATTTGCAGAAGAGGTTGCATGTAAACATTATAACAATACAAGTATATGAACATTATGAAAAATGTGTGATCCAGGTAATATTATCATCCAGACTTTCTTCTGGATGATGATACAACTTAGCTAGGTTTTGTTACCAGAACGTACCAGTTTCACTAAATTAGCTATTTTTTTTCACTTTATTATTTAACTCCATGGCTGAGAGAGAGAGTTTTTAAAAACACTGCTCAGTGATCTGCTTCTGTTTCCATTCTTGTCAATAGGATTTAACAACAAGTGATGTCAGTAGAGCCTGTAAGCCAATCCATACTGGCCATACTGGATTACTAACCAGGATCTAGAACTGTGTTTTAAGGCAGAAAACTTTAAATACGCTTCTAGGTAAAATGGTTTCTATTTTAATTTAGGCAGCTATGGGCACCTTCCAGGTTAAAAGCTCAATATAGATAGGGGGGGAAATAGTGAAAAAAGCCAACTAAAAGTCTGAATTAAAATAGAAATTCTCTGAGATTATGAAATGATAGGCATGCTGTTTGGTATAGATGTGTTCATGGTTTTTTTAATTCATATATATGTGTTTTAATTTATTACTGTTTGAAGACATTTTGAAAGCATATGAGAGAATGTGTTGTCATAGCAGTATGATAAGCAGGGATCCTGGTTTTCTCTGATAACAAATCTCCAATTTTCAAATTTAAAAAAGTAACCCAAAATCCACATTTTTTCATGATTAAAATGAAACACCACTAATATGTGTGTGTGTGTGTGTGTGTATTAGTGGTGTTTCATTTTAATCATGACAAAATGTGGAGTTTAGGTTACTTTTTAAAATCCAAACATTGAAGATTCTTTATCAGAGAAAACCAGGATCCCTGATGATCAGTCAGTTTAGTTTAGAACATAATGAGTGCATCTATATGAGACATTTACTGAAAAGTTGCCTAATTAGCTTTGCAGTAAAGTCTCGGTGTGTACACATGAGGACTTATTGGGTCACAGTAAACTAATAAACACCACCATAGAACAGTACTTGCAACACAAGTACTATCCTGTGGCAGCATTATTTATCCTGCCCCAGTGCTAACATGTAGACACTGATGGAACTGGTTGGGGCACAAGGATACTTCAGTGAGAGGGCTATCTGCCAGCTAGCCCTGAACTGAAGTATCCTTGTGCCCCAGCCAGCCCCTCCACTGTATGTTGAGCTGGGTGAGAAAAGCACTAGGTTGGCAGTCTGACCCCCTGGGCTCCCTGTCAGCCAGGGCTGCTCCAACCCGACTCAACATGCTGCAGCCCTTGGCACACATGTACCCAGTACATGTGTGCCAAGGAGCAATAAACTCTGATGCAAACCACACCAGGTTTAATCAGTCAATAGTACATGTAGACATGCCCACTTGGTCTAGTGGTGACAATGGCAACTGGAATCCAGAACAACTAGGCTCTATTTCCATTTCTGATGATGATGTTTGGAAGGTAGCAAATGTGGTCCCCATCTTCAAGAAAGGGAAGAGGGAGGACCCGGGCAACTATAGGCCCGTCAGTCTTACCTCAATCCTGGGGAAACTCTTTGAGAAGATCATCAAGGAGCACATTTGTGATGGGCCGGCATCAGAAATGATGCTCAGGGGCAATCAGCATGGATTTATTAGGGGGAGATCATGTCAGACCAAC